TTGGAGGTGTGAGATCCCTCAGTGTGCTGTGATGTCCACACCAAACCCTTCTTTGGGCTCACCTGGCTCAGTCTGGACCGTGCCCAGTTCTTTGCAGCTTTGCAGAGCTGTGTTTTGGAGCTGCCATTTATTGATTTATTCACCAACAAACCCGTGTCAAACAGCTGGGAGCACTCGTTGGCTCTGCAGGAGCAGCTCAGTGAATCTCCTGCTTTGTTCTCCTGCTGTGCAGAGGTTTTTATTTGGGGTGTGTAGGATCTGGGTTTCATTCTTTTCATTTCCATCCCTGCAGGTTCTCCCCTGAGGAACACTGTGCTAATTAAGCAGGCACTCAAACTGCTCTACAGCAGCGAGGCCCTCTACAGGAGCGTGAGTGAGGCCAAAATTCCCTCCCCTGTCCTGTTCCCACTCCTGGAGAATTCAGGGATTGACTCTGACCCCTTTCTTCTCTGAATATTTTACCCCCTCTGCACGGATTTGTAACACAAATATTCTGTTGGGTTTTTTTTTTTTTTTAGGCCAAATGTTGGAGTTCCTTCATCATGGTTTTGGGGAGCAGTGATTTGTTGGAAAAGAGGGGGAATCTTCTTCCCTTATCCCTGGGAGAGCCCCCCCTTGGATTCCAAGAGGTACCAAAGAGTGCTGGGACAATCCCCTGCCTCGGGTTTGGGAACACATCCATTGCACGTGGGAATTGCCTCCTCCTCCTCCTCCTCCTCCTCCTCCCAAATGCCAGGGTTCACTCCAGTGCCTCGTGCTGGTGACTCTGCAGGGTGTGGGGGCTCAGGAATGCTCGGGAATGCTGGAATTGGGTTCACTGTGCCCCCAACTCAGTGCCTGGGGCTGCTCCTGCTGCATCTCCACGGTGACATGGAGCAGATGAGGAAGGGCCTGGGCTGGGAATGGCTTCACAGGGAGACTGGGAGGGAATTCCTGGCTGGGAGGGTGAGGAGGATCTGGCCCAGATTCCCAGAGAAACTCTGGCTGTCCCTGCATCCCTGGAATGTCCAAAGCCAGCTTGGAGCAGCCTGGGACAGTGGGAGGTGTCCCTGCCATGGCATGAGGTGATTTTTCCATCTCAACCTTACAAAAAATGAAGAGTTTATGAAAGAATTTGGTTGGTGCTGCAGAGCCTCGATTTCCCTTGAGTGTAATGTGAAACAGGCACCATCCTCTGCAGAGAAAATTTCTGAAAATCACATAAATTAAATTAATTAAAATCACCCCTGTTTGGGGTTGGCCTGGGGAGGATCTGCCATCCTTGTCCCTCACTGTCCCTTTGCAGAATGTGCTGGCAGCCAGCAGCAACTTCCTGGAGGATCTCAAGTCTGGAGTTAATGTGTCTTTACCATCTGCTCTTTTCTCTGGGCAGGTGAGTGATAAATTCCTTTGTAGCCATCCCCAGCAGTGAAAATGTTGGGTTATTAAGAAAAGCTTTTAAAAGGGTCCTGGCAGGGTTTTGGTTTGGTTTTTTTTTTTTGGGGGGGCGGTGTGATCAGTTAAAGTTTAGCACAGTTTAAAATCTGGAGCAGATTTGAAGGTAGAGAACTGAGATTCTCTCGTGCTCTGCACATCTTCAATCCAGAAATCTTTATCCCTGTCCAAATTTATGGATTTATAAAGGAAGAGAGTTGGGAATAATTGATTGTGTCTTAATTTCTCCCAGGGTTTGGCTCAAACAGGACACTGGGGCTTCTCACTTGTGTCTCAAAACACAGAATTGCCCAGAAGTTCGAAATTTCTTTTAAATTAAGGGTTTCAAGTATGTGGAACTTGTTTAAAGGTGGCAGGAGAAACATTTCATGTTCAGTGCAGTCATCTAAGGAGCTGCCTTATTCTTTTTTACTTTTTGTGGAGGAAATTTTCATTTATTCTCCAGATCTATGACACCTGAGCTGGATTTTTTCCCCTTTAATTCCCTATTTCTGCTCTTGTGTGAGATTTCACATTTCTGTGAGCACTCCTGAGAGCACCAGAAATAAAATCCCAGCTTTTAACTCTTGATAATGTTCTTGTGGATTTGTTGTGTGACCTCCAAGCTCTTTGGCTGAACTGGAATAACTCAGTGCTGCTTTGAGTGGATAAATAAAGGGAAATTAAATTAATTTTTTTTCCTTGTTTTGTCTCTTGTGCAGCTGCACCACGAGGCTTCTCTCATCCTGGCAGTGCAAGCAGTGCAGCAAACTCTTTGTTGTGACCTTCCCCACTTGACTTCCTTCTTAGAGATAGTCCTGGCTTTTGGGGTGAGTCCTAGAAATTCCAGATTAATGTTCCAAGACATTAAAGAAAACAATATTTAAAACCTCTGTGATGATGAAACCACCATGCTGGAGTAACATTACTTCGTTTTGATCCTTTATTTTTTTTATATTATTATTATTATTTTAAGGAATGATTAGCACCGAGGTTCAACCACAAATGATATTTTTTTGTCTCTTAGAAAAACTTCTGGGCTCTGAGGCTGTTGCTGGACCAACTTGCCTGTGAGGAGCACATCCTGTGTGGCACTGCCAGCCTGCTTTTGAGGGACCTGAGTCGAGAGAAAGCCACAATGCTGAGAGTGTGAGTGAGCCCTGCCCTGTGTGTGCCCATGGAGGGGGATCTCAGCTCCTGGCCTCAGTCAGGGATTCCAGTTTTGGGAATGCACACGTGGAGCTGTTGGATTTCCTGATTTTGGGGAGCAGGGATTTGCTGGAGAAAAGGGGGCTCCTCTTCTTTTATTCCCCACCTTTGGCTTCCAGCAGTGCTGGGAGAATCTCCTGCCTTGGGTTTCTGCTGAAAGCAGAGTAACAGAAATTATTAAAAGAAAATCCCAAACTCTTCATTCCCTCTGTCACTGAGGACTTGGCTTTGTCTCAGCCATGACCTTGAGGAGAAAACCCCTGATGGGAAATGTTTCATCANTTTCCTTCCCCCTCTTTCCTCCCCTCTCTAGTGCTCAAGCACCACCACATCTCTCCACAAATCCAATCAAACCCACCCTGATGAAACCCAAACCTTCATTTCCTCTTGCCAGGCTCCGAGACCTTCGGGATCTGATCCCATTCTACCTGTGCAAAACTGGCAATTTCCTGGATGCTGCCCATTCCCTGCTCTTCCCTGTCAACAGCCTGGCCTGCTGCTCTGCCTGCAGGATCAGCCCCTGCCAGTTCAAGGTCTACCTCAAGATCTTCAGGACAGGCTGTGTTCCCTCTGGGAATGATGTGCAGGATGCAGGGCCCTGGGTTACAGCTGGCAAGTGTCATTCCTTCCTTCCTTCCTTCCTTCCCTCCTTCCACTGGGAATTTCATCCCAGCTCTTCCTTGGCATTCCAATGAGTGACATCCTGGGAATTGGGGGAGGATGGGGATGCTCCTGGATCCCTGGAAGTGTCCCAGGACAGAGCTTGGAGCAGCCTGGGGCAGTGGGAGGTGTTGGGTTGGAACTGGATGGGCTTTGAGGTTCTTTTCCAACCCAAGCCATGAAAACAGCAGGCAGGAAGGGTGACTTTGTGCTGGAGCACGGATTTATTCATTTCTCTTTGCTCAGAACACTCATTTTGTCAGCTGTGAGCTTCTGCTGAAAGCAAGGTAACAGAAATTATTAAAAGAAAATCCCAAACCCTTCATTCCCTCTGTCACTGAGGACTTGCCTTTGCCTCAGCCATGACCTTGAGGAGAAAACCCCTGATGGGAAATGTTTCATCACCAGCTCAGCCTCTCATCATTGTCACCATCTCTCAGGGTGTTTTCTGCCATGAAAGATTCATTTGGGATTTGTTCCCTGCTGGCAGAATTCTTGGAGGTGTGAGATCCCTCAGTGTGCTGTGATGTCCACACCAAACCCTTCTTTGGGCTCACCTGGCTCAGTCTGGACCGTGCCCAGTTCTTTGCAGCTTTGCAGAGCTGTGTTTTGGAGCTGCCATTTATTGATTTATTCACCAACAAACCCGTGTCAAACAGCTGGGAGCACTCGTTGGCTCTGCAGGAGCAGCTCAGTGAATCTCCTGCTTTGTTCTCCTGCTGTGCAGAGGTTTTTATTTGGGGTGTGTAGGATCTGGGTTTCATTCTTTTCATTTCCATCCCTGCAGGTTCTCCCCTGAGGAACACTGTGCTAATTAAGCAGGCACTCAAACTGCTCTACAGCAGCGAGGCCCTCTACAGGAGCGTGAGTGAGGCCAAAATTCCCTCCCCTGTCCTGTTCCCACTCCTGGAGAATTCAGGGATTGACTCTGACCCCTTTCTTCTCTGAATATTTTACCCCCTCTGCACGGATTTGTAACACAAATATTCTGTTGGGTTTTTTTTTTTTTTTAGGCCAAATGTTGGAGTTCCTTCATCATGGTTTTGGGGAGCAGTGATTTGTTGGAAAAGAGGGGGAATCTTCTTCCCTTATCCCTGGGAGAGCCCCCCCTTGGATTCCAAGAGGTACCAAAGAGTGCTGGGACAATCCCCTGCCTCGGGTTTGGGAACACATCCATTGCACGTGGGAATTGCCTCCTCCTCCTCCTCCTCCTCCTCCTCCCAAATGCCAGGGTTCACTCCAGTGCCTCGTGCTGGTGACTCTGCAGGGTGTGGGGGCTCAGGAATGCTCGGGAATGCTGGAATTGGGTTCACTGTGCCCCCAACTCAGTGCCTGGGGCTGCTCCTGCTGCATCTCCACGGTGACATGGAGCAGATGAGGAAGGGCCTGGGCTGGGAATGGCTTCACAGGGAGACTGGGAGGGAATTCCTGGCTGGGAGGGTGAGGAGGATCTGGCCCAGATTCCCAGAGAAACTCTGGCTGTCCCTGCATCCCTGGAATGTCCAAAGCCAGCTTGGAGCAGCCTGGGACAGTGGGAGGTGTCCCTGCCATGGCATGAGGTGATTTTTCCATCTCAACCTTACAAAAAATGAAGAGTTTATGAAAGAATTTGGTTGGTGCTGCAGAGCCTCGATTTCCCTTGAGTGTAATGTGAAACAGGCACCATCCTCTGCAGAGAAAATTTCTGAAAATCACATAAATTAAATTAATTAAAATCACCCCTGTTTGGGGTTGGCCTGGGGAGGATCTGCCATCCTTGTCCCTCACTGTCCCTTTGCAGAATGTGCTGGCAGCCAGCAGCAACTTCCTGGAGGATCTCAAGTCTGGAGTTAATGTGTCTTTACCATCTGCTCTTTTCTCTGGGCAGGTGAGTGATAAATTCCTTTGTAGCCATCCCCAGCAGTGAAAATGTTGGGTTATTAAGAAAAGCTTTTAAAAGGGTCCTGGCAGGGTTTTGGTTTGGTTTTTTTTTTTTGGGGGGGCGGTGTGATCAGTTAAAGTTTAGCACAGTTTAAAATCTGGAGCAGATTTGAAGGTAGAGAACTGAGATTCTCTCGTGCTCTGCACATCTTCAATCCAGAAATCTTTATCCCTGTCCAAATTTATGGATTTATAAAGGAAGAGAGTTGGGAATAATTGATTGTGTCTTAATTTCTCCCAGGGTTTGGCTCAAACAGGACACTGGGGCTTCTCACTTGTGTCTCAAAACACAGAATTGCCCAGAAGTTCGAAATTTCTTTTAAATTAAGGGTTTCAAGTATGTGGAACTTGTTTAAAGGTGGCAGGAGAAACATTTCATGTTCAGTGCAGTCATCTAAGGAGCTGCCTTATTCTTTTTTACTTTTTGTGGAGGAAATTTTCATTTATTCTCCAGATCTATGACACCTGAGCTGGATTTTTTCCCCTTTAATTCCCTATTTCTGCTCTTGTGTGAGATTTCACATTTCTGTGAGCACTCCTGAGAGCACCAGAAATAAAATCCCAGCTTTTAACTCTTGATAATGTTCTTGTGGATTTGTTGTGTGACCTCCAAGCTCTTTGGCTGAACTGGAATAACTCAGTGCTGCTTTGAGTGGATAAATAAAGGGAAATTAAATTAATTTTTTTTCCTTGTTTTGTCTCTTGTGCAGCTGCACCACGAGGCTTCTCTCATCCTGGCAGTGCAAGCAGTGCAGCAAACTCTTTGTTGTGACCTTCCCCACTTGACTTCCTTCTTAGAGATAGTCCTGGCTTTTGGGGTGAGTCCTAGAAATTCCAGATTAATGTTCCAAGACATTAAAGAAAACAATATTTAAAACCTCTGTGATGATGAAACCACCATGCTGGAGTAACATTACTTCGTTTTGATCCTTTATTTTTTTTATATTATTATTATTATTTTAAGGAATGATTAGCACCGAGGTTCAACCACAAATGATATTTTTTTGTCTCTTAGAAAAACTTCTGGGCTCTGAGGCTGTTGCTGGACCAACTTGCCTGTGAGGAGCACATCCTGTGTGGCACTGCCAGCCTGCTTTTGAGGGACCTGAGTCGAGAGAAAGCCACAATGCTGAGAGTGTGAGTGAGCCCTGCCCTGTGTGTGCCCATGGAGGGGGATCTCAGCTCCTGGCCTCAGTCAGGGATTCCAGTTTTGGGAATGCACACGTGGAGCTGTTGGATTTCCTGATTTTGGGGAGCAGGGATTTGCTGGAGAAAAGGGGGCTCCTCTTCTTTTATTCCCCACCTTTGGCTTCCAGCAGTGCTGGGAGAATCTCCTGCCTTGGGTTTCTGCTGAAAGCAGAGTAACAGGAATTATTAAAAGAAAATCCCAAACCCTTCATTCCCTCTGTCACTGAGGACTTGGCTTTGTCTCAGCCATGACCTTGAGGAGAAAACCCCTGATGGGAAATGTTTCATCATCAGCTCAGCCTCTCATCATTGTCACCATCTCTCAGGGTGTTTTCTGCCATGAAAGATTCATTTGGGATTTGTTCCCTGCTGGCAGAATTTTTGGAGGTGTGAGATCCCTCAGTGTGCTGTGATGTCCACACCAAACCCTTCTTTGGGCTCACCTGGCTCAGTCTGGGCCGTGCCCAGTTCTTTGCAGAGCTGTGTTTTGGAGCTGGATGTGGGACTTGGCTCCTCCTCCCCAATGGCAGAGTTCATTGATTGCAGTGCCTCACTCGCTGTGGTTTTGTTGTTCAGGTGGCAGAACCTTGGTCCCCAGTACGTGGGGGAGTTCCTGTGCCTGTTCCTGACCTGCAGACACAAGAGGATGCAGTCGGTGGGGCTCTTCAGCCTCAACGTCATCATCGAGAACCTGCACATGTGAGTCACTGGGGGCTGCCCCGGGCCACCTGAAAACCCTGGCATTGTCCCACTGGGATTGTCCCAGGGCCACCTGAAAACCCTGGCATTGTCCCACTGGGATTGTCCCAGGGCCACCTGAAAACCCTGGCATTGTTCCATTGGGATTGTCTCAGGGCCACCTGAAAACCCTGGGATTGTTCCATTGGGATTTACCCCAAAACCATCTGGAAAATCCTGGGATTGTCCCAGA